AGTCAACCTGATCTATAATGGGTCGATATAGATACTCCGTGTTTGAAAGGGAATTTATTGCCTTTTCTCAGTAGGTGATATGAACGAGTGTCTGTGAAGAAAATTGTTAGGCAGATTTTCTTATTCTGATAGTTTCTCCTGGGCATTTCTGGAAGAGGGAAGGGAGTGTGAATGATCTTTAACGGTGGGGCGGGGAGTCCCATTCTGTCTGTTACTTAGCAAAGGCAGAGCTGCCTGGAGGGCACTGATCCAGAGGAACAAAAGAAGACAGCCTGGTCTGTAATTTGTGATCCTTACAAACCTCAGTTTAAGTAATATATAGAAAGAACATAACTAAATCCAGAGAAAATGATAATAATAGGTCAGGTGAATATCTGATTTAGCGCCAATCACAATGATTCGTCTGCTATATATTTTCTTGCTTGTATTAGATTTATTTACTGTTTAATCAAAGAAATCCAACTAATTTTTCTGTGTGCAGTTTTTTCTTCTCTGCTTCAGTACGACAAACTCCTCAGAAGCATTCTTGTTTTTGTATTTTCTTTGATATGTCTTTTAAATGTTGCATGGCAAGTTAAGTGTTATCGTTAATTGTTTTTTGACGATGCCTTTGTAAAGCACGGTCTCCTTTAACGAAGAAAGGCCATACACTTTTGACTGTCACTCTGGATCTGGTGTAAGATTTCACATGTGTTCCTCATATTAATGATAATGGTCATACAATTGAATAGAGATTTATCCAAGTGAATCCCTTAGCGATTTATAATTTATAAGCCTCAAACTGCTAATTTCCTATTAATTCCTGTGGAAGCGGTATCAGGTCCTTTAAAATGATTGATAGCAATTATTAGCCTATGTCTATGAGTATCATGCATAGTAATGTGCAAATGTGCTTTTTACATTGAAGTTTTCTTTGAGTTTTTCCATAGATTATTTTTCTCATGTGCTCCTAAGCACTCTGTTTACATAGCAGCCCTCGCTTCTGCAGTCTATTCGCCCTCTTTGTGCGTCTTGAACAGCAAGACGCTTGTAGAAGGCAGGACTAGCTCTTAGTAGATGCATATGAGGCATTCCCTTAAAAGGATGCAAGCCGTAGAAGGCAAGCACACATATGAGTAGATAGAGCATCTGTAGTGCCTTGCGCTAGCAAAAGCATGCATCTCTGAGGCTTGATAAAGATGGATAAATCTTACTTTTTTTTTTGAAAATCCTTAATAAGATAATTATCTACCTAATGAATTAATTCGTGGAAGCAGATCACTCTTTTTATCATATAATAGTTCTATTATGCATGTACTTTTTCCTTATGCCACCCAATTATTTTAGGGTTAAGCTGCTAGGGTTCTTTTAATCTAAAACATTTTGTCACGTTTGAAAAAGACTAAAATTTATAGTTAAGAATAAGCAGAAATTTCTTCATCCTTCGTCTAGAGACACAAACATCTCCAGCTGCTTTCAAACTGTTCTTATAATAAAATGATCCAGAGTCCGGAAAAGCAGACGTTTATGGTTTAATCATCTCATTTTTGTCATTGTTTGAAACGTAGCTTCAGTTTATGATTGACATATCACCTAAAAGCACTCCTTTATATAAATGGTGGTTAGTTCTTGCAAAAGGGAGCACTGCATTGGTAAATGAAACTAAAAGTAAGATCATTTATGAGAGAGCCTGACTTTTATTTTATCCAAAGGTACCTCATATATTTCTATTAACAAGGATTAGAATGATCAGATGTATTAAAGTGGCCAGATCGATTTCTTTTGAGCATTACAGACCTATTTTTCCTGCTTAGCAGTGGGTGGACTTGGTAGCATATATAGGATGGTGTTGTTAGAGAAGGAAATCATAACTGATTTAGCTTCAGGACTGTTGGAGGAGGAAATTATAGCTGATTTAGCTTCAGCTTAGCATAAGTCTGATTCTTGTTTAGCATAAGTGCCTAAAGTAGCTGAAGCCTGCAGGCCTCAAGGCTGAACTGTCAGCGAACTCCAGAAACATTGCTAACGATGTGACTTTGCTGATGATGTAACTGCAAAACCAATTAAAACTAGCTAACAAAGATACAAAACTAGCTAATGAGGACACAAAGTAGAATGCAGGAGACAAGATACACACAACCTGGGTTGTGGTTGACTTTGGAGAAGATAAGGGACTGTGACAAACAAGGACATGGCAACCAGCCTGGGATGTAGGCCAGGACCTGTCAGAAGGAGAAACACACCGACGAGAAGGAGAGAGACACCAATCAGAAGGAGAGACCACCAACTCAGTAAAAAAGATTGGAGGAGACCTTGACTGGCAGGCGGGAAAATAAAACTGTAAAGGGTATAATTACCCCAGAATTTCTTTGTTCAGGGTCCCTCTCCGGAGGCGCACAGCTTGAGCTGTTACTATGCTGTACTGTCATTTAAATAAATAATTAATTTTGCTGTTATACGCACATGAGACTCTGCTCCTTGGAAACCTAGGGTCAAACTGTTTCCATAACAGGCGTGGAGAATACTGTGCTTTTCTCTTTCAGCAGACTGTACAAAAATGAAGCCTTGACACTGACATGAATGCAGCTCCTCCTAAAGCCATAAATGGTAATCTTTTCAATAACTTTAACAGGCTTTGGATGATACCCCTAAAACCTCTTTGGCTTTTATTTTTGGGAGGACTTTTTTGTATGGCAGTGGTAAATTCGGAGGTACCCATAATACAATGTCAGAGAAACAGATTTGCATATACCGGTTCTGAAAGAATAAAGCTATGTGAAATCTCTTTAAAGATAGATTTTTTTATAACAATCTCTAATCTAAGGAGATATATTTGACAGCACATGACTACTGATTGTGCATCAATACATTATATTAATATGGTATTGTCAACAATACTAGACAAACAGAATATGCCAGAAAAATCTTTGAGAAAAGATTCTGGCTAGTTGGCTTGAGGTGTGTATGCTGCCAACTACTTCTGTGGAATGATTGGCTTTAATCGTATTTTATTCAGAGAAAAAAAACATATATGAGAAGAATTGACCCGGGGTAAATGGTTCCACGAAGGCACCCGTTCTACCTCCAACCCCAAACTCATCTAATACAATTCCTCTAATATATTACTACAAATTTAAGATTGTTAGTGAAGACGACCTACAATATTCAGAAATTTTACTGCGCTACAGAAAACTGCTAATGTATCAGGTACTGTGAATGGTGCTGTAGGAAAGGTACAACATAAAGTTTCTGCCCAAGAATAACCAAAACCTAGCTACTTGATTGCATGTTGCTGAAATTCTCATTAACTCTTTTGAAGTTACTATGTTTTATACTCAGATTCACAGACTTTAAAGCTAGAAGTACTATGAGATTGCCAAGTTTGACAGCTACATAGTACAGACAAAGGGACTTAGCTCTGTAATCTGTATATCAAACCCAGATACGGGAGGCTTACTGGAAAAACTAATTGATTCTTTGGCAGAGGCATTGCTCTGTATGTGCTGTCTGGTGCTTAGATTAATTTTACAGTATGTGAAAATGCAGACATTACCTGGCTACTACTTCAGTTTCCATTTGAAATAATACACTGTGCCAATGAGAAATGCAGGAAAGCAATACTATATATATATATATGTATCTATGTTGTATCTTTTACATGTATTTTGTCAACTAAATTTTAAATAGCACTTGAAAATAACAAGAATGACTGAGCATCAGTTCTCTTGGAGTTGTCTAACACATCTCTGTAACGGAATCCTCCTTGTGCTAAGGCTGGAATCTGTTGGTGACTCAGGGTACTTGATAACATTTCTTGTCTAAAACTTCTATTGACTGCAGAGTGAATTTTCAGAAAAAGAAGCCTGCAGGTTCAAGCCCAGAAGCAAGTACAAGAAATAGAAATGGTCAGCTGCAAAATATTTTAAACTAGTCTGGTAGTAGTAATTTTATTTTTTTTCCATGTATATACTTGTTTCTGTATGACAACCACATTCATATTTATTTATTAATTATATTTGTAACACATGGTAGGTCATAGAAAAATTCTCTTGGTGACAGCAAGGAATGGTTTGAGCATGGGGAATTATAGTGGCTTCTCTGTCGAAAGAGACAGGACAGTGACCTACCCTGTAAAGCACTTTTTGCACTACGGATGAAAAAGCTATGCTGATATTGTTTGTTTATTTATTTATTTTTATCTTTAACTGCTGTGCTTAGAAATGGTTTTAAATTAGAGAAAGACAAAATAAGAATATAAGCTCCTATGCACAGGAACTATGTAGCTACTGTACAGAATGAGATCAATAATCTGTCAGAGGAGATGGTGTGAACTCGGTAATGCTGTTGACACTGCCATGCACAACGTCTGCTGTTCAAGCTAATGATAATGGAATCGAGTCTTTGAATGTGTAATTTTGTAGAAGATAGCTGATAAATAACATAACTCTAACGTAAAAATTTAGATGCTGAGAACAGTATGAAAATAATGTGATTTTGAAATTCTTAAATGCTGAAGGGGACATTTGTTTTTTTGTTATGCAAAACCAAGAGAGAGCTATTCGTATTCGTATGTGTGTGTGCAAACATATATGTATGTATGTCTGTATGTATGTATGTATGTGTTCTATTGCCAGTAGAATTGATCTGGTATGCAGATACAAATAAATCTCTGTGTAAGCTAATAGAATAATCACCTCAGTGTGGCTGACACTTGCTGTTTGACTAAATGAAAAGAATAAAGAAGGAAAGCATGCTTTTTAGTAGATTTTGTAGGCAAAAGGTAACTGAAATAAAGTAATAAACAAGCACTTCAAAACAAATGGTTATTCAGTTAGCTGTTAGGACTATAAACAACACAATAAAATCAATGTCATGATTTAAAAAAGACTGCCTTAGCTAAGGGTTATTTCGTGGCATTTTCACACTCCTTTAATTTTTTACCATTGATTACACGGCTGATTCCTCCCATTGTCTTTTATTGGGGGTGCAAGATTAGTTTATAAAATGTTATTGTACCGTACCTTGATCAAATTGTGTCCTACAGAGTAGACAGTTGTTATTTTCCCTTTCTCTCCAGGAGCATGAATACCTGTGCCATACCCATGCCAAGCAACTAAATACGGATTGTGGATTGTAATCCAATACTTAACACGATCCCCAAAGGTCTGGAAGCAAAAGGTGGCATAGTCATTGAAGATATCAATTACTGATTCATTTTTCCATCCACCGTATTTTTCTTGCAGTGTCAAGGGCAGGTCCCAGTGATACAGAGTAACCATGGGGTCAATATTTCTGTAAACTAGAGAGTCAATAAGACCATTATAGTACTGGAGTCCTTTTTCATTGGGAGCTGCTACCACACCAGTGGGAAAAAGTCTTGACCATGAAATTGAAAATTGATAAAAAGTAACTCCCAAAAAATCCAAGGCTGACAAATCTTTGTCCAACAAGGTATAACTGTCACTGGAAACATCTGGGCTGTCGGCATCTCTGAACGCTGCGTGGACAAACTGGTCCCATACGGAGGATCCTTTCCCATCCTTCCTCCAGCTGCCTTCTACCTGCAGTGCCCCTGTCCCTACGCCCCAGAGAAACTCTTTAGGGAAAACGTCGTATAAAAACATCTGTGTTTCACTCACAGGACTGAAGTTGGGGTCCTTTTTCCACACAGATCTTCCCTCTCCGGCAAGCCCAGTAACTGTCCTTAGGAAAACCAGCGTCCAAAAAGCAACAAACCTCTTCAGTCTTTGGCCGCACATCATGCCCTTTTGTAATGCCGATGTTAAAGTCAGATTTCTTTCACTGACGCTGAAAAAAAATCCATTCATTCCCTGGAGTCCCTGCTGCACTGACTGTCTTCATTTGCCACTAACTGCTGGAGTGTCTTATCAAAGCTTCACTAAAAGCTTGTGATCGTAAAAACCCTGTCAATGATTAGCCTGAACTGTGAGCCCTAGGATGGGTCAGAGAACAGCATAATTTTAGGGAGGTGGCCTCTATATGATCACTGAGACACCTAGGCTGTGTTCTTATTCTGGTAAAATAGCTTACCTGAATATTATAAACACTAGTAACTAATTTATCATTATTTAAAGCTAGGTCACTAAAATGGAAGCATACCAGGTGACAGAGGGTACTAACGAGCTATCATATTCTTTATTCCTCACGCAACTGCATTTCAAGGAAACATGGAAGAAATATATTCCACGCTACTTAGTTCAATTAAAGGGTGATATATCAGTTCTTAACAAATAACATGTTAAATAAGAAGGGTATGCCAGAAAGCTTTTGGGATCATTTTTGAGTGACTTTTTCTAGAGCTGAATTTTTCACCCTTGAGAAATTCAACATATAACACTACGACACAGTTTATTACTAGCCTGCAGATAGACACAATAATAATAATAATAATAATAATGATAATAATAAATGTTTGCCTCCCTGGGCATGGTCTCTTCCATGTCAATTTCTTCTTGAAGTTTTTGGTTTGGGTACAAAGCTCCAGATATTTACAGGTATCTTGTGAATGTTTTCTCACATTATCCACTCATAGGAAGATCAAGTTTACCTTCCTTTGGGAAAAACTAAAGAGCTTGCTCCTGTTCAGGGCAGATCCCTGGAGCGCTAGTACAGGTCTGCTAGCCCCACAATACGGCACCTTAACTGTGCTTGCATGGAAATTCTGAAATCATACTCAGAAAATTCTGAAAATACTCAGAAATCATGACATTTTACGCTTTCTGTATAACTAGATGGCTAGAAAGGCAAAGTGTGATTCCCCAGTCCTGCCCTGCTCAAGCACGATCCCACTTCTGCAGGAAAATCTTCCCTGGATTCATGTAGGAAATTCTGTTATGGAGAAGAGGTAAATGCATGTCCCACCAACAGTGTAAAAATGCAAAGCAAGTCAATATTTAATTCAAATGCATACAACTGTTTTTATATCCTACATAAACTCTGCTGTACAGCTCTATGTATAGTCACAGTACAAAATTAACACAGGTCTGTTCCAATCCTGAAGCAATTTCCTTTGCTTTTTTTAAATAACAATAATGAGCAAAGATAAATAACCCTGAAAGATGTTACCTCAGTACTGATTAATTTAACAGTCTTGATATCCACAGCTGGTAGAGTGGATCTCTTACAGAGCAGTTACACAATATTTTAAAATACAAACTCATCTTTTAAGATATTTAAAACTACAGCAAAAGTACATGCGTTGATACAGTAAATATGCGAGATATAGAACGTATCCACTTGTAAATCACAGCTGCTGAACAGATTCACAGAATTCAATAGCAACGTGAAGTATCTTTGCATGGCAGAAAGAGATGCACTGAAATCGGAACACGGGAACAATTTCTCCCGAGGCAAGCATTCTGCTTCAACGAATTAGCTCTGCTGACATGTAGGACGTAGGAGTCCAGATGGACGGCCGCTTTATTGTTCCTGCTACCTAAGAGAGCATGTTTGCAGGCAGCTTGAATGTCTTTACACAGCATTGCATCATGCTGTTTAGACATACCTTTGGTTTAACGATGAAGCTGGTTAAAGCATTGGAAGACATTTTATTTTTGTGAGAGTCAGTTGCTAAAAAGCTATAAACATATATGTTTGTTTTTAGGATAAACAACAAAATATCTATCTCAATGCATATTTGTAAGCCTTTCTCTGCACCACCTTTCTGCAAAACAGTTTCACTGTAGATGATGAAGGAAGCTCTTACAGACAACTTCTGCACTGCAGAGCTCTGCTGGTGGGGTAGCCACCCAGCAAATATTAGTCTGCCCAACAAACCCACAACTCCCTCAAGCACCTGCAGTAACTGCTGGCAGTTCCCAGCTTAGACCCTGCAGAGGCAGTTTGGGAAAGAGAGAAGTAGTGAGGAAAGGTACCAAGTTAATCTTACAGTACGTGTCACATGTTCCTTTTTTATCACATGGAATAGCATTTTGAAATACTTATTGGGATGGTTATTGCATGACTGTAATCCTCCCATTTTAACATTTAAAATGCTTTGATCGCATAGATCATACTTTATGAAAGAGAAAACCCAAACACAAGTCATTATGGATGCCACTGTACCTCAAAAGTAGACAGCTGCCATGACTACCAGATATTTGAGATCAAAACACTCATGACAGCTCTGCAACATCATGGCTGTGCACTGACAAAGTAAAGACAATAGGCTTCTCCCCAATAACTACAGCAGAGCTAGTACAACTTGCATCTTATTGCAGACAACACGGTGCATCAGCATGAGATGTGAGCAGTGTAGTGGACTTGTGCTCACAGATGCTTAATCTGGCCAAAGTTATGAACTGCACTTCTTTTCTCGTTTTTGATGTGCCTGGCAGCATGCTTTAATCAAGATTTCAAAAGGTTTCCCACTATAAGACCGTGAATCTAGTTTCTTACTGTTTTGTCAGATTTAATAGTACGGGCTATCATGTTATTTGATAAAGTTAGAAAGAGATTAAACTGATGAGAGTCATATAAGGACGTGAACTTGGGAAGAAGGTTATGATTAGCTGAATGACGAGTTGGGGAAAGGAAAGGCTCTGACCTTTAACTTGGAAAACAAGTAGTAAAGACCAGTGAGATCTGATCAGGAACAGCTGAGAAGCGGGGGTGCACAGGGAGGGGAAGAGAAGAAGAAGGAATAAATGATGCCACTAGCTCGAGTGGCAGAAGTCAGTGTTGGCTCCCACCCTGATGCTGCAAGCAGGTGTCAGCGTGATGTTACATAGCGCAATTTCCTGCCTCAGGCTGTGCATGTGATGAAACTGGTTTCAGAATGAATTGAGGCTGAAAGAGTCTGGGATCTCCAGGGCACTTGCCAATACAGCTACATCAGTTGGGAGGCCTAACGGACTATGCTGTTCAATTCTCACCTATCAAACTTCCTTTTCTGTCCTTGCCTCTGTGAAGATAAGTGATTCAAATTATGAAACCAACTTTTGACTTAACCTTTAATTATGTATACCCCTTGTTTTATGGGCTCAGCTTGAAAACTCGGAGTTTGATCTGCAGAAGTGCTGAGCGCATTAGCCAGAAAGAATGGAGTCTGAGTGTATACAATGTTAGTCTGAGTTAAGACACAGTCATTCTGCCTTTAGATATTCAAATGAAGATAGAGAAAAGATTTAAGGACAAAGTTCACTCAGAAAAAGTGCACTGTTTACATTAACATCACCTACTGAGACCTAATAGTTTTAAGCACTCAAAAAATCACAACTTAATTTATGTAATTGCTCTCAGCAGTGTAACACATATCAAAGACTTACCTCAAAGACTTACACAGCAAAAACTGCTTGAGATGGGATCAAATCTTTTCTAAAGACACAAAATTGTGATGGATACATAGAAAGCCTAACGTAAACAGAACCTAGATGACAGATTTACAAAGAATTTTTGGAATTTTTGGTCTGCAATAAAATACAAATTCCTATTTCTACAATGTAAGAGAAAACCATTTGTTATTACTAGAGACTCTAGTAAACATCATATTCCCTACAGAATTCATCTAACAGAGAGAAACATTACCATCTAGTAAGAGGACATTTCGATACTTATCAACGCCATTTAAAAACGTTGAATTTAACCTGAAGTTTTAATTTCAGGAAACACATTGTTGTGTTTTCCTTATCATCACAGCATTATAATAGTATACTTCTTTAGGGCAATTCTTAACCTGTGAGGTCCTTTGAATATATATGAGGTTCAAAGAACATTAGCCGTGTACCATGACACATTGCAAAGATTTCTTAAATGATTGAAGTGTGCTGTGCCCTAAAAACACCGAGAAACACTGCCTTGTGGACTTCAAAAGTATCTCAGTATTATGTTACAGGTTTATCTGCTTTGTACTTAGATAAGTTTCAAAAAAACACAAAATACAAAATTTGGAATAACTCTAAAGAAAACATTGCTTCAAAATAGTTACAATAAAAGTTGATTCGGTTCTAAAATTGTATCAAACTACTAAAATATAAAAAATCAAATACACAATGACCTAGAAAATATTACCAAAAAGGAAAGTGACTAATCTATTTGATATTTCTCAACATAAGAACATGTATTTTTCTTCACACAACTTTCCCTCTCTATAAACAAGACAAGGGCTTCACTAACAACAGTAAGACTGTTTTTGTTCAGTAAGGAAGAAACTGGAAGCTCATGATTTAATAAATATCTCAGGTTTTAAAATATATTTTGGAAAATATCAACATAAAAATCCCAAATAAACCAGGCAGTAAGTGATTTGCAAAAAGGTAGAAAACAAGTCTGATTTGTTTACTCTTTGGTTTAGTTATAAATAGGATGACAATATTGGGAGTACTTCAGCTATTTTTAAAAAAAAAATAGTACTTTTAATTGGATCATATGCCTTTAAAACATAACCCGTGATCAATGATACGATCAAACGGGATATTGCCCTTATTTTATCTTACAAAGCACATCATAATACAGTGAGTATTAGGTTTTGTTTCCAGTGACACAGCAAGGTTTCTCATACTTGCAGTGGTTTCATAGGCACACATGCAGAAACACCGCGGAGTCTCTCCACTGTAACCAGAAGTGATTTACGGTCATTCCAAGTATTTGGGCTGATCTACTTTACATAAAGGGTTAAACTCTTGCCTTCCAAGAAACATGAACATGTCACAAGCCCACAGGCGCATACTGCTCTGCTTGACGTTATTCTAGGTAGCTTTATCAAATACAAACATAGATAACCACCTGCAATAATTCTTTAACATTATTTAAACAGTTTGTGTGGCTCTTACAAATGTCAGCCATTTAAACTACTCTTAATTTTGGCATTGGGAATAAGTACAGCTTTAAAAATGGCATAATGAGAATTAAATACATAAATATAAACATATCATTAGAGTTGTTTTTCTAAAGTGATACCTTTTTGTTTGCATAGCCATTATAGTCCAAGATTTACGGCATAATTCGCAAAAAATACTGAAATCACAGCCTGTGCTGTGGGGTCTATATTTACTTGCTTGCTCTTCCATTTCTTTATCCAGAAATGCAAATTCACAAGCTACACTAATACTAAAAATATGAAGGAAAGAGTCCACCTGGCCATACTCATTCATAAAAGAACAGTGGCAACTTCTATATAAATAGGGCCTTATAATTATTTACAGCTTAATTTAAGGAATTAAACAGAACTAGTAATAGAGACCATGAGCATTCCTGTTTTCTCAGGTCAGGCAAAAAGATCTATCTTTTATATCTATGCAACTATCTTTGTTGGGAGTTCGACCATGACACCAAGGAGATAGCCTCTTGTTCTTACAAAAAGAGAAAATGAGTACAAGAGGTATGCAAAGGATTAGTACTGTAAGACAAGTACAGATTGAATTTGTACTCTGTACTGCTTTATGAGTGGTTTTCTCAGTCAATGGCAATATTTGAAAGTCATAAATTCAGTTCATCCCCCCCTCCCTGCCCCTTTTTTCCTCCAAGACTATCAGTGAGTAGGGATTCAATGGGTTGGCAGAACAGAGACATCAAATAAATAACTCTTATTAAGAAGGGAACTGATTTTTATTTGGATTGCCAAAGGTTTTTCCCTCCCAATGCCCAGCAAGTAAAGAAAGCATACAGGATTTCATAAAAAAAAAAAATCAGAAATAAAGAAGACAGTAGGTGAAGACTGAGCGTAACTCTTATTTTCTCTTCGACCCCTCGGACCCTAGCAGACTGTGAGCTCTCCTTGGCCTTAATGGAGGGGAGAAATCCACATAGAGAAATGGAAGTCTAAGACTTCCTGCACAACTGGGAAAGAAATGAGAAAGAGCCAAATCATATTTAGTCCGTAAGACACGTCGGAAAAGTAATTTAATGCATCGGGCTGATTCAGGTCGGACTCACTGTGACTGCACTGCCGTGCTACTATTTGCCTATCTATTTGGGATGCTTCATTTGCCTCAGTGCACAAAAAACCCGATCCACCTCATGCAGGCACAGCACAGATTATGGTTCAACGGTTAAACTGTCGGCTTTGCTGCTCTGCCGGCGGTGACCGCCCGCAACGCAGGAGACGCCTCTTCCTTCCAGAGCGGCAGAGCTAACTGCCCCGCACCGAGCAGCAGCTGCCCCCCGTTTCCTTCCCGGCCGACCGGCCAGGGCCTGAGCTGTAGCTGCCAAGCCGTCGCGCCAAGCCAAGGCGGAGCGCGTCGGGG